CCATGTTGGCTGTGTGGTATGGCTGTGTGGTATGTAAGACAGCCATGTTGGCTGTGTGGTATGGCTGTGTGGTATGTAAGACAGCCATGTTGGCTGTGTGGTATGGCTGTGTGGTATGTAAGACAGCCATGTTGGCTGTGTGGTATGGCTGTGTGGTATGTAAGACAGCCATGTTGGCTGTGTGGTATGGCTGTGTGGTATGTAAGACAGCCATATTGGCTGTGTGGTATGGCTGTGTGGTATGTAAGACAGCCATGTTGGCTGTGTGGTATGGCTGTGTGGTATGTAAGACAGCCATGTAAGCTGTTTCATTCGTTAATTTAGTGGTTGCAAACCATTCTAAAAACAAGAAGTTATCGCATAAAATACTTAAACAATAATGTTTTGTTTAGGTATTTTATGCGTGTTAATGAAATTGAGAAAAATTAAATAAAGAATTTATTCATCTTCTAATAAGTAAGAGAATGGAAATAAAAATATTTTCTTACGAAGTTATTTTTTTCAATGCAAGGTCTTTTCAAGTCTAAATGGTTTATTCAAGTCTAAATATTTCTAAAGTTTGTAGAAAGATGAAAAAAATAATCTTGTTTAAATGATTTGGTTAAATATTTTCCCCCTTTTTTAACTTAATTTTTGGGTTTGAAAGTGACAAGTAATTGTCCAAATCAACTTATGTGTTTTAATATGTATTTTTAAAAAAAGTTATAAGCAAAATACGCAAAGAAGTAAAATCGACTGAATTGTTACCAAGAAGACACTTTTTTACTTTTAATTTTTTTTATTTTCTTATTTTATTTTTTACACGTTTTCTTTTTCTATTTATCATTTCAACGCAAGCGTCAACTAAAAAATCGAGTCTAAATTCATCGGTTTTTAATTCATTTAGCCTTCCATCATTCTGCATTTTATTGAAGGGATTTTTTTTCTTCTCTTTAAAAATAAGTTTAAAATCTAAAGAACTACTACAAAGTAAACAACGCACACTATTAAATGTTAAAATTTTTTTGTCATTCTTCATATAGTATTTATAATTACTTCAAAAGATTCAATTTTACAACAAAATTTCTTGTTGCATACATAAAAATTATCGAATTTCCACAATGTTTTGCAGAACTGTGTGTAATATTTATGAATTCTTGAAAAATTAATTTTTTTGAGCACAAAACATTTTGATTGATATTAAACATTGAAGATGCTAAACTATTAGTTAAGTAATGATGTAATTGAAGTCTTCGCACTGAGGTACTCATTTTTTCATTCTTTTGTTTAATTGGATAAATCTTGACCTTAGGTCGTCTAGTATCATCTTTAAAATAAATAAAAGCTTAGATATGTACTCGTTTTTTTTTGACAAGTTAATAACTTACAGAGTTAAATATGGCGTTTTTATAAAAATCACAGTTATTAGAGCATTGGAACAAAGAAACACCGAACTTTCCACGCCCGTTTGTGAGGGCGTGGAAAGTTCGGTGTTTGTAAAAAATTATACTCTTCATCACGCTTACTTTTCCATCAAACCCACTCACCAAACGAACTTACTTGTTAAATCACACATACATCAACCAAAATTACGGGTTATTCTATAGAGCAATTAACTATTCCCATTTTATTTATCAGAAGAAGTATAAATTAATCCTCTTTTAAACGCATTTACTAAAAATGGAGTTAACTAAATACTTCATTGGCCTTGGTACTGTCTTTCAAATTATTTTCATTAATTTAAGATATTAACTTTTTGTATTTTTATAATAGTAAAATTTTACACTTTTATTTGATCAAGATTATTGTGAAATTTTTCATAAAAAATGTTTCGTATCACTGATCACTTTCTACCACATGTCATTCACTTATAAATTATTTTTTGAAAAAAAGTTACAATAAAATATTTCAAATAAACAAGGTAAAAATATAAAAAAGTTTTATCAAAAATCAAAAAAGAACATAATGAAAAAAAAAAAAAAAAGGATCTTTTAACAAGTATTTTTGAAAATTGTTCTAATGATGTTAAAATGCTACGTGGGTTTTTCAAGTTTTTGTGTAAACGTTATCGATTTTTGCGAGCAAATATAAACTAAGTTTAACATTATTTGTATTTGAACCCTGACTTAACAGCTAAGTTCCAGACCCTTTTATAAAAAATAATTTCAAACCTAAATAAGTTTTATCATATACTCTTCTTCTATTTTTCACAAAACAACTAAATTCTCAGTTTCATATCGCGGTCGCAATATGAGTTTCAAAAGATGAAAAATTATTTAAAATTATTAAAAATACTCAGATAACTTTGGGCATTTAATTTCAAAAAAACTTGTTTTTATTTTTTAGAACTTTTAAAAATGAGAACAAAATTAAATATATAAATATATGATTTATAAATATTTTAATCAACTTTTACTTAATTTTTTTTTTTTTTTTTGCGTTCTTCTCACTTCGTCTTATATTATTTTGTTTTTTGCGTTACATTTCTTAAAAATGATATATACGGTATTTTTTTTTTTATATTAACACTTTATTACATGTAGTAGAGCGTGGCTAATCCAAATGCAGAGCTAATCTAAGCAGTTTGTTTATTAATTTTTTTTTATCTATTCTATACATTATTAAAAAATGAAGTATCAAATTCTTCTCAAATTTGTTTTATATAAAGTAGACTTGTGTAATGACAATATGCAATAGCTATTTGCTTAAAAACACGACGGTTTTGAAAGTACTTTTGTTTTCACATAAAAGCTTAATTTGAGTTAAAGTTGGTTTCAATGAACGACTCACTATAATTGATACTCGACTAAAATTTATAAAATCAAATCTTTTCTGTAACTTTAACAACTCGCACTAATTTACGCTAGACTAAAATTTATAAAATCTTTTATATAAATATAACAAAACAATAACTCAGAAAATATAAATGTATAACACATTTAGTACTATTTAGCACTATGGGCGGTTATAGCAGCCACCTTAATACCACCATAAATTTTTATATTAGAGGTAAAACGTAACAACGTTATTAATTTTATTTTAAAACTAACTATGTTTTTAAAATTTATTTTAATTTAAGCTTATTGATAACTGCAATTTAGATTATGTTTAACAACCTTCTCCCAAGTAACAATCACTTTATCGCCATGGCGGTAAAGTGTGATTGCTAACATTTAATGGCCATTAAATATTGGCTTATTTAAATCAATGAAGCAAATTCGGAGAGAAATTTTGCGCAACTTCTACTAAGAATTTTACGATACATTTGTAAACAAATCTTTTCAACTTAACTGAGACTTATTTGACTGAAAGTGAATTAAGTCTCTGTTTTAAGTTAAAAAGTTAAAAATAAAAAAAATTTAAATCTGATTTAAGATTAAATTAAAAATCGGTTTTAGAGCATCTGGTTTATATATGCTAAAACCATTTAAAGCTGGCAATAAAAGTTATGGTGGCGACAGTGGAGGCAAAAAAAAAAAAAAAAAATCTATCAATCGCAAACTTTAAGTGTCACTTTTTCTGATGATAATTAATAAGTTATAAACATTAAAAAAAAGGAAGAAACGATTTTCAAGATTGTGAAAAGACTATAATCGGAAAAACAGAACAACCTTCTACACTAGAAAAAGTTGCAAAACTACTGATAAAATTGGAAGCAAATTTAAATTAAACGTTGTATGTAAAAGAGTGAACAACTGTTGGGCCCAGCCAAATGTATAAGATACAAAAAACATCAAATTGTTAAAAATAAGGTTGTTCTTTAAATGCATACGGGAGTTGTAGCCAGTTTCATACTTTTTTCAAATATAGCTTTTACAAAACTGTTATGGTTCAATTGTTATGATTTTTATTAGATTAAATAAAATAGTAAATTTTAATTTCGTTTATGAAAAATAAATTTGTAAAGAACCAAAGCCATAGTCGGGTCTTATGTTTACGACTTTTTTTTAAAGCAAATGGAGGTTTTCTACGCAATTCTTGGAGGTTTCTCTACGCAATTCAAAAAACGTTTTGAGTAATAACGTTGTCTTGTGGCACAAGGAATACTTTAAGTGTTGTAAATTATATTTTAAAAAAAAGAACCATATTTCTTTGCAGATAATTTAATGCTGTTCGCAATGATATACAAGCATTACCACTCCATAAATTCATTGTTGCATATTTTTTCTAATACCTATTATTTTTTCAATGGTATAAGAAAAAAACTTTAAAACGCTTATTACCGAAAAAAAAATCGCGCGTTTAAAAAAATAGCAATGATAAATTTGTTTTATGCGCCACTTTGCACATTAACTTCAGTTCGGAATAGGCTGTTTGGCTAGCATTAGGCTATTTCATAACATATTTTTTTTGTTTACGTTTTTGCTTAAACAAGCTTAAAAAATTTAATTGACACACAGTGCAAAAAAAAAAAAAAGAAGTTAATGCAAATGCAATAACTTTTTTTTTAAAGTTATCGCAAATTGCAAGTAGAAAAAAACTATAAAGCTTAAAACAAAAGTTCTTGCCTGGATAAGTCACCCGCTACCTTATTTAACACTTACAGATTGTGTTTTTTTTTTTTATGTTTTATTTATAGTTTCAATTTAGTATATCATATATTTCTTGATATTAATAGAAAAAGAATTAAAAGAATGTGAAAAACGCGTTTTTATAAAAGTGAGTAAAAAAAATTTTTTTTTTTAGTTACTTCTTAAATGTAGTTTAAAATTGTTTTTGTATCATGTATTGTTTAAGAGTGACATGAATAAATCTAACACTTTGCTATGGATTTAAATCATAAATTGAGAATATTTGCATAAAGTCATGTGGTTTGCATTCAAGATTTCTGGGGTGAAGATAGGAAAATAATAATGCAAAAAGAAATATATAACAAAGTAAACACAATAATATCGAAAAAAATTATATTTTGTTACCAGCTACTGGTACCTTTGATCAGTAATTGAAGCTCTTAGGTTACATTAACAATTAAGCTAATTACTCGTTTTTTTATTGATATATTTTGAAAATTTTAAAGAGACTTAATAAATACTTTTATTTATTGTACAGTTTAAGCTTTATTTACATTTGTGGGTTTTAATAAAACATCTGTTTTTCTCTTCTACACATCATAGCATCTTTGGATATTTACAGAGATTGAAGGAAAAATTTGAATCCAAATTCTCAATAGTCTAAAAAAAACTCGTCTTAATGACATGAGCTCATTAAAAATCTGTGGGCGATGATTGGAGAGCTTTTCCGCACCTCTTCTTACATTGTGACTGCAATGATATCAATGCACCAAACAGAAACAAGGGAAAACTCTGTTGAACCTTTGTTTAAGATTTCAGAGATTTTGCTCATTAATATAAACATAAATCATCGTTTTCCTTTTATAAACATTTTTACAATTAATGGTTTAAGTGAAGATAAATTTTTGTCAGGACAGCCATTAGTTTTAGATATGCAGTTGATAGTTGTATTAAGACAGCGACTAAAAAAATTTTTTTTATTTTTATATTTGCTATAAAATGACAAGTTTTATTGTTTAAAATACAAGTACATAAACTTACCAAGTTCTACATTCACTATTGATGAATGTTGCATTGTGCTTAATTGTAGTATTTTTATATTCGCAGTCTAAAATAAAATAAAATTTTTTTATACCTTGCAAACTTAAAGGTATTATATCATCTGTTAAACTAATTAAAATTATGAATTCAAAAGTATATATTGAAAATTAATAAGTTAAAACCTTGCGAATTGTTGTACGTGTACACAGATGGCTTGTAAGCATTTGCTACTAAAGAGAGGTAAAAAAATTATTTTAATATTAAATCATTTATTTTTTATTTTTTAATTTTAATAGTTATTTATTGTCCTTTAATCCGACCATTTTTATGAGAGGCAAGCAAAGAGAAGGATGGGTTTAGGAAAGCAGCTTCTAGCCGCCCAATAAAAATACGCAAAAGTTTAACCATGGTTTAAAAGATCATGTATTTAAGTTTTTAGGTCTTCAATGTCTTAAAATGGAATAAACCTTTTAAAATATTCATTTATTATAAAAGTTTACAATTAGAATAAAAATAGTGTAACAAAAAAATTAGTAGAGCTAAACGGTTTAGTCAGATTTGGAGTCTTTAATTTGTTAGATTTCCTCCATGACTGCAAAATTGACAGTGTAAAAAAGTTTTAAATTGCTTACATATAAAACACTTTGCACTGTTAACAAACTGTCTGAGATTGGCTATGATTTAAAGTGGGTAGTTTAACCCTTTCATTCGTATTATATGTATATGATATGTATAAGCCATTATATGTGCTTTTCAGAAATGTTAATAAATATTATCATGTGAAAATATTTCTGCTTTTATTCATATCACGTATTGAGTTGGAACTATGATTGTATCTTGTTTTATCGTTGGTACCTAATGTATCTTGATTTATAATATGTGATCTCTTGTAAGGGTTGGTGCTTTTTTGAAATTATTAGTATCTTGTCATAGGTGGTCATTCGTCAATAGTTTTTCTACAATGTCATAAAAATAGTTTTTAGTAAAAAAAAAGTTTTTTAATCTTTTTAAATTCCTTAATGTATTCAAGATATTAATCAATAGTTTCGGTTGTATTTATTTTATCCAATTATATTTTAGATAGTGTTCTTTTTTTTTATTTCACATTTTTTACTTTTGTTAAAAATGCATTACAAAGACGACGTCAGCAAAAATTGATTTTTAAGATTTTTACGATTTTTCTAAAAAAACGAAAAAACAAAACAAAAAAAATAAATTTTTTTTTGTTGACGTCGTCTTTGTAATGGCTTCTTTGTGATTTTTAAATTTTATATTGTAACAGTTTTTTAAATTGTAATTTACGTCTGATGATGGTCTATACAAATTAGACCGAAATATCACAAAAAAGGAAAATTAGTTAGTACGATGCTGTTTTGATGTTTTACAACTTATTTTACCTTTACGTACAACAAGAATGCCACTAAAACACCTAAAGATTTTATATTTTTTAACCTGATTTCATGACAAATATAGAGAAGAATTATGAAAGCTGTTATCCCGCAACTCTTTGAATTTTCTTTTATTTATACAAAAAAGTTCTATTTGAAACTTTTAAAATATTAATTTAATATTAACAATAGTTCTTTAATTGTATATTAATTTTACTTGAGCGGATGACGGAGAAAAAAGTATAAAATTAGTCAAAGGATATTAATTTATACAAATACATTTGAAATACTCAACAAAAGAATGATACTTTAAACAGATTAACAGTGAACAAATAGTTAGTTAAAAAAGCACTAATATTATATATAGATCAATCAATTCTTACATATTTCATTTTCCGTTATTACAGGAGTGCATTTTTTAACACATCCGTCTGAACAACATTTTAAACCAATCAAACAATCCAGATCGTTTTTACAATTTGATATAGATGAGAAACACGGAACTTGCGAGTGAGTAGAATGAACTTCATTATCAATGTAGCTTGGACAAAGGCCACGGAGCTCTTTAAATATGTTCTAAAAAGAATGAAACTGAAGATTTTGATGTATGCTCATATTTTTGAAGCAAATATTTACTCTAATATAATACGTAAAAATTGTAAACTACGATTTAGTGGATTTACGTTAACAGTTTTACATTTTATATTGTTTGTTTAGTCAATAAATACAATGGCTTTGAGTTGTTTTTGTTCACTGCTACTTTGATCTGTTCAATATCTGATATTAACAAGCTGCATAATAAAAAAATAAATTTTTATCTTTAAACCTTATGCTCTCTCATCTATTTAAAACATCTAAAATATCTATACTAATCATTGCAGTGAAACTTAGGAGCCAGTATACAATTATTGCAAAAGAGCTATTGTTCTTTTTTTAATTATCTCTCTTCACTAAAAATAAATAATCTGCCTTTTTTTAAAATCTCTTACGATGTTTTGTAAGTGATTTGTCTAAGTAAAAATGGAATATTTAAAATGTTCAAAACTCGACAGGTTATAAAAATTAATTTCCAATATAGATATAAAAAGTTAATAAATAATATTCATAAAATTTTTCCCATATAAACTTTTAAGGATATTTGTCAACGTGTCCTTCGTATTGGAATTTCTAATTTAATGTTATTTTGGCAAACAAGAAAACGTACCATGCATTGAGCGTATACGCAAATGAACAAAGAAATTTGCTGCCCGCTGTCATTTTTCCATTCAATTGACTTCAAAAATGAGGTTGAAGTATGAAATACTCTATCTCAGCAAAAAAATAAAATAAAATGTTTTATTTTCACAAATTACTCATTATATTCACTTGAGTTTAAAAACCTAATGAACAGTTTAATTTACTCGGGGTGGTCAAAAAAAAAACTTATCTAAAATTACTTTGCTTTTTTTTAAGCTATTTTATAATTTGAAAATGATAAAAATTTAGGTAATATAAATAAAAAATAAAAAATCCTTTAAATTTCTATTTAATTTATTTATTTGGCTGTGACTTGGTTCAAAAGTTTGATCAGTAATAATATAACTATTTTTTTTTTTTGATTTGCTGACAAGGTAGCAAAATTTTGTTCACAATTATTTGCTCAATTATTACTTTTGCTAATATATTTTTACTAAATAATTGAATAACAGGTTTTGCAATAATTTTAATTATTTTAAATAATATTATGCAATTATACCTTACTGGAACTTGGTATCCCCCGAGCGTCATTATTGCAAATCTCCAAAACAAGGACAATTACACATAAACGGCAAAAATACATCATATCCATTTTAGTTAAGTCTTTAAAAAATAAAGTTCTTTTCTTCAAATCCAAAAGTTTAGTTTTTATCGGTTTCATACGAAACAGTTGCTTTGCAGACTTTGGTTCTTTTTTATGGAAGCTCTAACAAATCGCGTTTTAATTTACTGATAGATATTATTATTTGTTTTGCGTTGCTTTTTGGCATAAAGGCAACTCTCCTTCGATCAACTTTGTTAAAATTAGTGCCAAAGGAGGGTGGACGTTAAAAATATCCTAGCAAGTCAAGTAAAACAGCATGAAACCATAATTCAATTCAAAATGCGTATTTATTATACTTTCAGAAATGATGTTTTTTGTGGCAAAAGAGTTTCCAATGAGTTATATTGTTACTACAATACGAAGATATGACAGAGATTCGGTGAGTATCAATTTACATTTATGGTTGTTTTTAGGGTCGCATAAGGAACGCTATATTTATTTAAGTTTGATTTTGTTTGTTTAAATAATAGTCTTTTGTTTTATTAAAAAACTTTTATTTTGTTTTATTTAAAAGCTTTTATTTTCGCAAAATAAGTTGAGGTGTTATTTTAATAAGAAAATTCTTTTCCTCGATTTAAAAATAAAATTTTTTAAATGAACGGGAAAAAATTTATTAACTAAAATTACTATTTATACCTCATTGGTTTTAGAGTTTTACATCAAGAGAATTACAATACAACATTTATTGGCATAGTAAACTGATAACCGTTGTTATGCCAATAGAAATTATGAGCGTCGACGTCATTCATCGAATTTTTGTTTTTTATTTTTCTTATTTTTCTTATGCGGAAAAGCTCCTCTTTTTAAAACAAACTCTTAAAATAACCGTTTTGAACAAAACTTTACATACAAACAAAATATTTTTAATGGTGATAGTGATTATAAAATTAATTCCATTTAGCTCAGTGTCAGTTGGTTCTGCCAATTAAAATAGTAGGTATGTTGGTGACAATGATAGTAGTAAAAACAATCGTTGACGGTAGACAACGTTGTTTTTTGTAATAGCGGCACGCTTCAAGCGCATTTAGGTATTTAACAAATAACTAAAGCATTTAAATATGATAAACTTATTTTTTCTGAATTAAACTATAGTGGTGCGTGTACACTTTTGATTGAGTTTTAAAATTAGACATCTTGAATTTTTAAAAGAAGTTAGTTTTGAAAGTAGACCCTCCCACGCCTCATTAAAATACTTTTAGTAAATATACATTTATAAAACAAACTAAGTAAACTTGTTGATTACTGATATATCGTATATCAGTAATCAACAACTTATAGTATATTTAATAACTATAAAAAAAATTACACTTAATAGTTCTCTGTAAAGATAATAAAAGTTATAGTCGTATTAGTTTTAAAAAGCAATTACTTTTAAAAAGCAAGTACGTTTATAAATTAATGTAGGATGAATTTGAGCTGAATATATTTAAAGGCATAAGTTACACAGCCCCTCTACCTACTCACTAACAAAAAAAGAAAAAGAACCTAAATATCAACAAACATGAGATTCTAACAAAATTTTAGTCGGACTAAATTTTTAGTTAAATTTTTATTTAGCTATTTATGAAGAATCATTATCAGATACTTTACCGATTTTTTTTTTATCTAATAAAACATTTAGGTTTTTTTCAAAATCATCCCCACTTTTTGAAAAATTTGAGCCATTGATTGAAGTTTTTATTTTTTAAATAGCTTTTTTTTAAAACTCATGGTGAAGATAGACCAAGATAACGCTAACGACCAAGATATACCAAGATAACGCTAAAGTTGCGTTTTCGTCAACATTAATGATACAGTGGCGGATTAAGACTTCTCAGGGCCCGGGGTTATTTTTGTTTTTGGAGGCCTTTTTATGGGCCAGAGCCTAAAAATTACTAAAAAAAAAAAAATCATCTAAAATTTTTGGGGGCCCCCTAAATTTGCGGGGCCCGGGGCTATAGCCCCCCTTCTTGATCCGTCACTGTATTGATTAGAGAAGCTCAAAAAAGTTTATGCCTGTTTAATTTGGCCCGAGCCTGATTGTAGCTATGTTTTCATTACTGAAAATATATCATATAAAATAGTCATTACGACTCTCTTATTTTTGTCTTGATTTATTTCTTATCTATAAAGAATATATATATATATATATATATATATATATATATATATATATATATATATATATATATATATATATATATTTTATATATATATATATATATATATATATATATATATATATATATATATATATATATATATATATATAACTAAAAAAAATGTATTTATATATCTTATTATACGATTTACTACTTGTAAAATATTCTGTTGTATTTTTTAATTTTTAACTCGTTACATAAACTGAAGGCAACAATGTAAACGGGGCTTGGCGATAAGACAATATACGTCTTCTTCTTGCTCCGGCCATATTTATATATGTACGATCTTTCTTATTGTAAATTTTATCAAACGGCAAAGAAAAAAAAAAGAAAAAAAAAAAATGCAAAGAGAAAAATACAAGTGTATTAAAATTCACATATTAGATAAAGTAGTACTAATTATTTAAATTTTGTAATTTTTTTTTGAATTTTTTTTTCACCTCAAACTTGAAATAAGGACATGTACCTACTTCTATTCCCTGCTACCAAATTAGGTTTATGTATAAACTTCAGCATTTTATTTTCATTGATTACACGGTATTTAAGCTGTATTTCAAACTGGTTAAAGCATTATAAAAAATAAATAAATAAAGTATTACAAAAAAATAAATAATAAATTAATAAAAAAAATAATATTTAAAAAGATATAATAATAAATAATAATATCTAAAGAAGCAAAAACAAATACCAGCCATTAGTGTTATTAGAAACCGCTTAAACTAAGCAGTAGTTGACTTGTTAGCAACACTTGTAGTGATATGATTGTGCAACTTTTCTGCAAATTAAGTCAAATAATGCAATAACAAAACAAGTTTTATAACAAAAATACAACTAAATTTTTATACATATATCCAGTATTAGGTTTTTGTCAAATATTGTAAAAAAAAAAAGCAAACATTTAGTTTATTAGCTTAAATTTTGCAGGAAAACAAAAGTTTTATATTTCAACAATATGTTGCTAAGATTGTCGTTAAAGAAAAAATAATAATAATAAAGCAACCTGCATTCTGAAATTTCATAGGAGTTAGTCACATAACAAGTTTTTATTTTTAAAATAGTTTTAATAATCGACATTGGATATAAAAGTATTCTTTGTTTTTAATTTAAAAGATAAGGCAATTTAAGTTTTTAAAAATTATTATCGCATTTATAGTTTTAAATTATCTCGCACATTATTTTTTTATTTTTTAGTCGAACTTTATGCTAGTTTAATTTAACTTAATCATTAAACTTTTTGTGTTTCTTGTATATAAACTCAAGGTAAACTTTTACTTACTATTTTTTTAAAAGAATAATGAGTAAAAGCAATTTTGATTTTATAAGTGCCAATAACTAAGTAGCTAATTTTTTAAAATTTTACCTTAATTAAAAAGCTTACTTTCTATTAATTTACATTAAGTTTAAAAAAAAAAAAAAAGATCATATACAAATTGCGTCACGAATCATAAACTGTTACAATCTTTTTAAATTGTAGCAATATAAAAACAATAACAATTTTTTATCCCAAGGCTTTAAGTAACTACTTTAACTGGCTCTAAATAACTGATATGGTTGAACTTACTAAGAAAGCAGAAATGGCAAGTATAAGTATAAGGGTACCAAGCGTTTCATACATCTAAACTTCTCAGTGGCGGCTAGAAATCGACAGTAGCCACTGTAATACGGTATAGGGCTATTATCCATGTGCCCCGCCCTACATCAAAAAAAAAAAAAAATTGGCATATATATATATTTTTTATTTTAGGTGCCCCAAGAAGTCCTTACGGTCTTATCACAGAGCACCGCGGATGAGCATTTAATTGGAAGTTCACGCCTCCTTCCTAACCGATGTCGCAAAACTTGCCCAGAGGTGGGGTTTGAACCCCGGATCATTTGTTTCTGAGGCAAGTGCACAACCACTGCGCCACGGCTGCTCCTATATATATATATATATATATATATATATATATATATATATATATATATATATATATATATATATATATATATATATATATATATATATATATATATATAAACTTTAAGAGCGCCAAGTTTCAGGTAGAAAGTTTTTACAGATCTTGCTTGCACTACCACTTTTCTTACGTCCGCCACTACGAGAACACACAACAACAACAAAGTTAAAGTATGCAAAGAATATAGAAAAGTAAAGAATGAAAAAGAACTAAATGAGACTTAAATCTATATAGAACTTATTTTTGCAGATAAAAGATATCAGTCAGAAAATCAAAAAAAAAAAGGTTTTTAAGTAAGGTTCTAAGTAATAAAAGTTTTTTAGCAACATCTGTTCATATTTATTGTAGGTACTACTCTGCTCATCTAAGTAAAAACGTAGGCAACTAAATCAGTGTTTTCAGAAAAAGTTTTTTAAACATTTTCTTTAAGTCTGTATGTTACACTACTTAAATTTTTTTTTTTTAGATGTACGTATTTTTTTGAAATTTTTTTTTTCCGTTTGTTTTTATCTGGTAGGATACACTAAAAATAAAAAATAAAATATTAATTATAATAAAATATTGCCTACACTAAAAAAAAAATGAAAAATTTGGACACTTGATGCAATTATCTCAGGTTTTGAATTTGTTTTTACTAAGGGGCGTAGTATTTATATTTACTTATCATACTATTTATTACTTACTGTTTCTAAAAATGTTATTTGTGTGAGGTATGAACTTAACAGTATAACAAGTATCGTAATGTTAATATTATACTTATCAGGGGCGCCGAAAGGTGGGCAAACGATGCATTTAATTACAAACGCTGTAGACTCAGGAGTTTCTTATCAAAAAGTACAACAAAAAACAAAATATAGCAAAGTCTATAAAAACATCAATAAAGTGCTATCCCGGGAGGCGTAAAACTTTTGGCTTCACTGCTTGTTATACTATCGACTATTTGTATGGTAAATAAATGCAAAACTGCCTTGAATCTGTTTAAAATCTTTATCTAAATAGAATTGACCTAAAAACGACGTCTTACAGACGTCACAAGTCTGCTGGACGTCCTACGAACGTCTGTGCCCACTGGATATGTTGTGACGAAGAAAAAAATGATTTACAAAATATTATATTAATTTTGTTCTTTTGTATTTACATTGTTTTAAAGTATGTATATTCAATAATTTATGAGTTTATCAAGTAGTTAAACAAAGAAACAGTTCGGAAATATCTTAAATTAATATCAACGATATTTTGTAAAATTTCTTTCTAGAAGTTCTTTCTAGAAGAAATCTCGCTTTTGTACCCAATATTTTATAAAATTTACAGAATATTTCTTAAACTAAATAGTTAATTTGAAACAATGCATGTGTAATTAGTGTATTAATGGAGTTATT